AGATGAGTTAAATTTTGATTTCATTATCCTAAGGCTCACAACGCAAACCGTGGGGTGACCGATTGTCAGCTATGAATCTAGGGGGAAGTACTGAAGCTCCTATATTGTGCTCTTGGGGTCCCAGTGGTGGTGGTGGGTATGGTGATACTACCTGTGCACAATGCATCTTTGAATATGGTAAGCCCTTGACTGTTGCTAGAAAGTTAATTGCTGACTAATCGTGTCATCTTAAGTCCTGGCAGCCCAGGCTTAACATGATATTAGGTCACCGTCTGATGCGTACCGCACACGGGCTCACATGCATAATCTATCCCACACGCTGGCCGCTTTCTAAGCCAAGTAAGTTGTAAAAGTAAGCCACTACTTTTATGGTGGGACCTTTCCGATACCCTGATAATGTTTATTGGGTTAAATGCACTGAATTTACTCAAGAATTAAGGATCTACCTTATTATATACTAACAAGACCGCCTATGAACTCTCCTCTGCATTGCTAGACCAACTACTGAGTCTTTTAAGGACAACATTGTTAAGGCACATCTACTTTATGCGCTTTCATTCTTAGCTTCAAAGGTTAAGAACCAAAATAGTTCACAATTTTCCGCTTGCAGTGGCTATTAGAGACGGCTTCAGTCGCCGAAATTAGCTAATGAGATATTTATTTTGGATTCACGGAATTCGCTGCATTCACTTTGATATCGTTGCCCTCGTAACCACACCCTACACTTGTTGTAGTAAACCCACCATCATTCTGCCGCCTACCTTTCCTACCCCACAAAGAGCGAGTCGACCTAGGTGAAAACAGGTCGAAAGCCTCCTAGCTCATCATCACCATCGCGGCGCGCAACTTGTTGTTTTTGAGACCGCAACAGTAGCAGCAGTTGCTACACCATCTGCTCAAGCAGTTGTTTTAGTGTGGGTGTGTAGATGCGTACGTCTCGCTTTCGCAGGTCACAGCACGCCCCACTGTCGCAGACACGTAAGTGGTGCGGAAGGAGGGTGAAAAAAGGGGCCTTTTGAGTCCTCCTATGAGATCTGCACACTTTCATTTTCGATGCAAAGTCCACGTTGTGTGCTCACACTTCTTCCGATGGTCGTGGCCAACAGTTGTCGGCGTTCGACTATTTTACCTCGACCTAAACTATGCGCTCCTCACCAAATGAAATGATTGAGAAGAAGGAGGAGGAGGAGAGTGCACGTTGATTATAGTAGAAATATCAGACTTGTTTGCCAAACTCGGAGATTTTCATTTTGAATTTCGGTCAGCAGGACTGGTGGTCGGGCATATAGGCGTTTTAGTTGATCCCTAAACTTCCAGGGACAAGGCGCTCACGGGCCTCGTCTCTGGGGGCATTCTCATTGCCTTCTAGTCATGCGCTTTGTCACTAAACGCAAGCGGCGTTGATAAACAGTCGACTGCCTGCCCAAGCCCCCAACATCTGTCCTGCCGGACTCGCTGATACTTATGAGGAGGCTTCTTCCCAAGGAGTGTTGGACAGATGTGTAGAGGCCTGACGTTTCCTGAATTTCCCGTTTTCTAGTCTCTCGGATTGCCAATGAAAGTTTCCCCGTTATGGCGATTTCCTACTATTTACGGTGTTTATTCGACTTCACCACCACCATAATCAATAAGGCACTTTAACCGTAGCCGCGGATTGTGTGAAGTGCGCAAATGCAGAGGATTAAACGATACATTTCAGAACGTTTGGTACACGATCGTCTCTAGATCTCACTGGGTATTACGTCTGGCAAACGTTCTGTAAGACTTTTTGGAGGGTCGTGGCCGGCTTCTTTTACGACAGACAGTTCACTTAGTCCAAATTTGCTTGCTGCTGTTGTGATAACCTTCTACCTGTATCTGTGTCCTTGTCTTAGTCCATTAGTCCACTGGCTGATGGATAGACTAGGGGTCCGGCAGCGACGGCTCCTTCTAATTCCCTGGCGTTTGTGTCAAGGGGGCTAGGTCGTGCTGTGGCGCGTGCAGACGGATTCACCGGCCCTGTGGGCCACTGCAATCATCCCTTAACAGACAACCGACCCTGTTACAGGGTAGGTTATGGGCCTTGGAGATACCGTGGATGTTATCTGCCCATCCAAAATTGGAATCCATAGAGTTGAGTTCCCGGTAAATCATGATCTGCCGTTTTAGCGGTCTTCGCGACTCACTGGTAGACACGACATGGTGCTAACCGGGGACGGGTTAAAAGAGTACTGCTGCTAGGGACAGCACGTCGCTCTAGTGCTCGAGGTGAAGGGGGGAGGAGGAGATTTAGGTCGACGGCTCAGCGCATTTATTTACTCCCTTTAAGCAATCTGACGTCCTTAAAGTCATCACGGTGCGCTAAAAGCCGTGTTCCTGGAGGATGGCCAACCGACGGAAAACTCGGACACCGCAGTCAGCTCAGTGCGTGTCTTGTTGTGTAGAGTGGCCGACTGGTGGGCTGAGAGTCAGGCTTCAGTGGCTCCTTCTTCATATGGCCCTTATGGCAATCTCACACAGTTTCGATTCGAGGCATGCATTTTGTAGAACTACGATGGTGCATATTCCGAGCATGCATATACTTCATAAGATGAAAAAGCTCTTTGGGAAAATTGAGTTAAATTTGTGAACTTTTGACTTGGTTGCACCAACCCATCGTCTGGAGAAGCAAGCCTTGAAAAGGCTGGTTATCGTACGAGTATGTTTGAGCACAGAGGTTATTTGCAGTATATTTATATTTGCACTTTTGGTTCGATGTGCGTACCCTGAGTATGTTTAGCGCCGCATTCCTTCTATCGCCTACGATTCTCTTTGTAGGCAACTGACAGAACTCGGCTTCAAGTACCGCCAAAATCGCACCGTCAACTTCATTCAACTGCGAAAGTAAGTGAAAAAAAATACGTTTGTGTTGACTCTCCTCACCTCCCCTCGTCTAGGGCTTCTCTTGTATGCGGAAAGTGGCCCTCGGAGTTCACCGCTGCCTGGAAGAAGTACGAAGCTGAACACGGCTCTGATAACGAATGTCTGGACTTCCTACCGCGCTGTCAGGAGTGGGTGATTCTGGAGTTCGACTATGCTGGAAAACCTCTTGGCACAGTCAAGGTAAGACCAATCCTCCCAAATTTGTGCCCGATTAGCGATTCATGCGCCTGAGGTGTATCGGTTGCCCGGGAAGGTGGGCAGAGTCACAGTAGTGGTCTGACAGTCACACCAAACTCCACTGGCATCACCTGCCGCCCAGATCTCAACTGTAGCTCCGCGAACGTGTGTGAAAGTCAGAAACCACACCCCCGTAGCTATTAGGACTGGCAGGCAAAATCTCTTGCCTCTGTTAAGTTACCGCGCCTGCCTATGACAATTAACGCTCCCCCCGTTTCGTCGAGGATTATTGCTCCCTGCTGTGATAA